GTGAACACTAGCATACTTTAGTACGACTGCCAGCAATTTTGCCCACTATAATTTTGAACAATTAGTGTGAATTTCTGTGTAGTAAGGAAGGCAAATGGTATCTAAGTCTTATTATGAAAATAGTTTTGATCCTGTAGATCTTCTGAAGAGGTCCAAGGAGTCTGCAGATCACTCTATGAGAATGCTGTAGCACTGTCCTCCTGTTGTTCATCAATTTGCTCAAGCCGGCACTAGTAACATTATTTTTTTTTGTCATACTGAACATACCACAGGGGAGCTTGCTAGGCTAGAGTATCTCGGGAAGGATACTCTCGGTAGCTGATCTAGACAAAATTCACTGTCACTGTCACTGTCCTCCTGTTGTTCATCGATTTGCTCCAGCAGGCCCAGTAACATTGTGAGACTTGTTGTTTACTGTGTTTGGAATATTGAATACACCACGGGGAGATTGCCAGGCTCTGCCATGCGGGCGAGATACTCTTGGTAGCTTGCCGGGCTCTCCGAGAGGGGTGGAGGAATCGAACGCAGGTCGGCCAGGTTGGCTGCATGCAAGGCAAACACCCTACTCGCTGTGCTATCGATCCAGCCCCTAGACAAAATTATTTATAAATAATATTCTAAGAAATTATAATAATGTCATTAATAATAGCTGTACCAATCAAAATAACATAGATTATGTGGTAATAACAATAACTGTATGGCGATAACAATAACCCTTAAAGTGGTTTAAACAATAATTATTTCTATTAACCACATGGTACCATATGAAGATGGACAACTCAGTTTAACAGATTCTGCATTAATGACTACCAAAACAGCACTTATTGAGCAGTTATGTGCCAGGCACTCCTCTAAAAGGAAGCATTAATGATTTATGCTCAGGACTCTCCTACTCTTTGGATCAGAAAACCAAGGAATAGAAAGGTAAAGTAGCTTGTTCAAGCTCAGAGAGTTCAATGTCTGTCCTTTTAGCATTCAGCCACATTGCCTCTGTTCTCCATAGTCTAGAAGGAAAATATAAAATAATAATTTTTTAAAAGCCATGAGTCTAAAGATTTATTCTTATAAAGGTCTTTTTTCTTTTAAACTTCTCTTTTGTCTATGAATTGTGATGATAGTGTTTAAAACTTTTTAAACTAAGAAAAATATAAAAGTCAGCAACATTTAGTTCCTCTAATTATCTCTTTTAGTTTTGACTGGTCCCAAATAAAAAAAAATTGTGATCACACTTTTGGGATCTGTTTTCTTAGTACATCATTCTGATGCATCCACATACTGGTCATCATGTGCTAGGTACCACACTTAGGTCTGTTTTATCAAAGCACTGTAGTTAGTGTTTCATGAACATTATTTCATTGTATTCGACATTATACTACTTCTTTGTAAGATCTTTCTTCTACCCAAAAATGAACTGAAACAGGAAAGATCTGGAGATTTACAGGTTCCCAGGCAGCCAGAGCATTGCTGGCATGGGCACCAGTCTGTCCCACCAAAGCACCAAGAGCAAACCAGCCCATCAATATGATTTCTGCTAACCTTAATGAGAATACCTCTCTGGTTTCTAATGAGATGTAACATTTATCTCAGGTAGAAGGCTAAATGAACTGATTTCACCAGCAGGGCCCTGGAACCTGGCCACAGATGATTTCCTGGGAAGGACTTTGACCAGGCGCAGACTTACTGGCCCAGAGCTCAGTCCTTCAGGCCAAACAGCAGTTAAAAGAAACACAGTGCTTAGACGCAAGCAAGCTGTTCTGGGCTCCAAAGCAGTAACTGTTAATGGGTTCTTTTGGAAAATTTAGACAAGAAAAATGTTTGTTGTGATGCCACAGGCCAGAATTTCAGTAATTTAAATGTTGTGTTCTATGTTGCAAACCATGAACATACCTGTTTCAATAAAATATCTTGACAATTTATTGCCACAATTGGAAGAAAAAAATTTCAATGAAGGAAGGAAAAAATCCTGCAAATGGTTCACATATTGTGATAGCATATAACAATTATTTAAATTCTAAGGCCATAATATCAAATGACAAGATCTTGTCTAGAGCCATTCTTCTAGGAAGATAAACCATGTGTTTAACCATTGACTAAATAAATACCAACTCTGGAAATGAACGCAAGAGGCTGTCACCAATGAAGCAAATGTTTTTTCTCTTATTTTTAAACTTCAGATTCTGTTGTTTGGGGGGTAATGCCAGGAATTGAACAACAGCTGCACATAAGCAAAGCAAATGTTCTGCTACCTAGCTACATCCATATCACAAAGATCTAAGGACACCATCATTAGGCCATTTTTATTCCTCCTCTCCCTTGATCCCCCATTCTCCCTGCCCTGCTCCATCTATTTTTCTCTTAATAGTATCATGGATTGAACCCAGGGACTAACTCATGCAAGGCATAGTCTCTACTGCTAAGCTATATCCTGGGCCTCTCCAGATTCTATTTCGAGACAGAGCAAATAAAAAATAAATGTCAATACCATGCACCTTTGAAGGAAAGCATTTGTGACAATGAAAGTCATTTTTAGATTGACTTGAATGCCTTAAGTCACAAAAAATGATTTTTAAACCTTATTTAAGGTATGGGTTTTAACAGTTGCAGGCATGCATTCAGATCCAATATTTATAAATCCTGGTTTATATTTTTGGAAGATGACTGCTGAAGAGCACTGCCACTTAAGAACAAAAGAAATGTTTTTATGAACTTTCTATGCAATATCCTCTGAATGGTTTTTAGAAGCCAATTTCCATACTGCTGTCAATGTGTGTCTTCAAATATCTCTAGTCCATAATTAGGAAGGAAGCAGGCTGCTTACAGGGCTCAGATAATAGCTGCAGTGAAGAAGCTGGAGAGTGTATCTGGCAGCTGGCACCTACCATAAGTCCTTACTGATGGCTAGAACAGCAGATTCTCTGCTTGGCAGAGCAGAGAGGAGGGAGTCACCAAACACCAGTCAGTGACAGTCAGCAAGATGCAAAGGAGAAAAGGAAGGGCTTGGCTCTCCAGTGAAAGACAGCAAGAGAGGAAAGGACCGGCTTTATAAAATCTGTGCGGACTCAGTTGTGGGGATATATGGAAGAGAAAAAAAAGAGTATGAGACTAATACCAAAGGACATAGAAACAAGGGCCAGGACAAATGGTCCATGGTTAGAAGCCTGCCTCAAGGGTTGGGGGAGAGAGCAGCTGGGATAGAGAAGGGACCATTATGACAATGATTATAGAAGAGATTGACTGAGACTGGATCATGAAAACTTTGTGACTGCTTCCCATGGTGAAAAATATTAATTAATTGATTAATTTTAAAAAATCTGTGCTGAGTAATGAACATGTCTGATGATGTCTAAATTCTCATTTTGTGCAAAATATAAAAATGCCAACTGCACCAAAAATGTACAAATGTACTTTGACCAACCATGAAGGAAGTAGGGTGTGGATATATAACTCTGGAGTTTAAAAGGGAGAAATAAATACTTCAGTTTATGAGAATTGTACAGATCAATTCCTTCAACCTCAACCCTTTATATGAAATATTTTTTACATGAATACAAGATAAGATAAAACCATACAAAATTATATATTTTATTTTTAAAAATAATATGTTAATGATAACTACTAAGGAAATTGTCACCTGGTTTTAAACAATGAAAATCTGGGGCCAGGAAGATAACAGTTTTAAGGGCACTTCCCTTGCATGCAACCAAACGGGTTTTAATTCCCAGCACCACACATGGTCCCTGAGCACTGCCAGAAATAACTTAGTACAGAACCAGAAGTAAGCTCTGTGCATACTGGTTACTATTCTCAATAGTAACCAACCCCAACCCTATTCTCCTCCCACCCCAACTCCCATACCCCAGAGAAACAATAAATATCTATGAGCCCATTTGGCTTACTGAAAAGACTACTACTGAAGAAAGCAAAAGTTCAAGTAAGTGGAAAATGCTTGATGATTTTGGATACAGGCTTCTTGGAGCAAAAGTCAGCTAGTCTTACTTTTATTAGACTTCTTTTATTCCACATAGCACCCCTAACTCTCACTAACCAAAAAGAGGAGTCAATAAAATAGCCAGTAGCTAGAAGCAGCATATTCTCCCTAATGTCACTAGCACGGCAAGGCAAGACAAAACAAGACTATCTAATCTTACTTGTCTAATCAAAGAGTGAATTATAGGAGTTGCTTGGTAAGCCTGAACTCTAAATTTGTTCCCATACTGCAATGTCTTGAAAATTTACATGAATCCACTGCATAACAATTCTCCTATGTACAAGACAGGAATATTCAAACTTTTCTCTTTGTTGTAATTTTTGTGTGTTCTACCTGTGAAAATAGTGCTCCTCAAAGGAAAATAAAATGTGTTTTATTTAGCCCTATATAAAAGGGATTTTCCAACACCATAAGATGGATGAATCTCAGGACATTATGCTAGATGAAATAAAACCATCACAAAAGACAAATGTGTTATGATTCCTCTAACATGAAGGACCTAAAGTAGAGTAGCTCATAGAATCAGAAATTAGAATGGGCTGAAGTAGAGAGAAGGGATGGAAACCAGAACACATTTTAAAAAGAATGCTGCATTTTATAAGCTATTTGGTGCTTGATAACCCCTTTAATTGGTGGTGAGGGGTGGATCATTTTGTAGGGTGAGAACACAGAGATTTTACTCCCTCCCAAGAGCTACAAATAAAATTGTACTTCTTTAATTAGGAGAACAGAGGGCCTTATGAATCATACAGAGAGAAAATCACTGCTGTCAGAATTCAGTACATTTTATTTCATGGAGAAGATAAAACTAGATTTGTTGGAATAAAGAAGAGACAATGGGAATACAATACAAAACAGCAAAACAAAAATGGAGGATTTTTGCAATAATGCAGATAGTAGCACTGACCCTGCTGGGGAAAGAGAGGTGAGAGTCTTTGAGACTCTTCAGCCATCTGCCAAAGGTCATTTAGGGCATGTGTCTGTGAGCACCTTACCACACAAATGCTCTTACCTTTCTTTTGATATCAATGAACTGGGAAAACATCAAAGACCAATAAAATGACAGCTCCAGGATATAATAGTAATGAAGGTCAGCGGTGAGTGGCTGCAGATTGAAGAAAAGCAGGGCAGACTGTTAGTGAAGAGGAAACTCAATTTGTGTTCCAAACATCTCAAGTTCAGTGCAGAAGAGTAACAAGATTTTATACCACCACATGTTTCTGTCCAGTCTGGAGGAGAGGAAGACATGAAGGATGTCTCCAATCTACAGCTTGTTGGCATTACTTTCGCTTCATCTCCAACCAACACAGCATCTATCAGTGTGAACATCTGGTAGCTAATTCACATTTCAGTTTAACAATAGCATTTATGGCTCTTTGGCATGGGTATCTGCAAGGTTCATTAGTCAACTTGAACAATGTTCTCACACACACAAATTATCCTGAACAATGGCTGGAGCAATAGCACAGTGGTAGGGCATATGCCTTGCACGCAGACAGCCCAGTCGAGCCAGGTTAGATTCCTCTGCCCCTTTTCGGAGAGCCTGCAAGCTATCGAGAGTATCTTGCCCATGCGGTGAAGCCTGGCAAGCTACCTGTGACGTATTTAACATGCCAAACAAGGTAACAACAAGTATCAAAAAAAATGGAGACATTACTGGGCCCGCTCGAGCAAATAGATTAACAACAGGAGGACAGTGTTTTGTTTTTTTTTTAACAATGATTGAGAGATTTCACAGTACAGGGATAAGATGATAAAAACTGGGGTACCTGGTGAGTCTCTGAGGCACAGTTTCAAGTTCTGCATAAATCAAAGGTTTCTTTTTGCTACTAGAAAATGCTCAAAAAATTGCACAGAACAAAAAGGAAAATTAAGAAGTATTAATGGAAGGATAAGAAGGACAAGAAAGCTGCCAAGAGATTCCAAGGCTAAGCACCTTGCCAGGAAATCTGAGATCATGTCCCAGCTCCACAGTTTAGTTGGTATAAAATTTGAGTCTTAATAAGTAAATTAGTTACTTATTAGAAACTGGAAGTGATATCTGCTCTGTCTGCCTCAGAGGTACGGAAATTGGGAGACTCATATAGGCAATAAAAGCCAGGAATATTTATCCTGTATGTTAATCCACTGAAGCAAAAACAGGTTCTAGAGATGATTTTCAGTGGGTTGTTTTTAATTTTGTATTGGACTATAATGAACTGTGTTGCTTTATCAGAATGAATGAAAAGACCTCTGAAATATATCATACAGACTTATCCACACTGCTCTGATCAAGGTAATAATACACATAGTAAACAGAAATGTTAATGTAAATGTTCAGTATAAAAAAGCAGCCCAACAAATGACCTTCACAAGAAACTGGCATTCACTGAACTGTGCACTCTACCAGCTTTGTGTGTCAAGGGAGACAATCATCTCACACTGAATTTTAGCAACTAAACACATAAGGGAATGAACCTAAGTTCTCACTGATGATGAGTATCAATATATTTCTCAAACTCAGCATCACCTTGGAAAGAATATATTTCCACTAAATTGTCCTAAATTTGAAAGCATGGGCTGGGGATATGACTTAAGTGGAGAGAGGCTCTGGGTTCAGTCCCCAGGACCATATGCTCCACTTCTCGCCACTACTGGGCACAGACCTAATGGCAGTGAGCACTCCTGGGAGTGGTGCCACACTAAAACTTGAGGGCATAGTACAATGAAGCCTAGAAAACAAGGTGTGATCTCAAGATCGCTAGGAACAAGGTTAATTTTCAGTTTTAATGAGATTTGTTTACTCCCCACACCTGGAAAAATGCCAAGGAGGATGAGTGAGCGAACATCTGGTAACCACAGAGCTCATAAGAAGTCGTTGTAAACAAACAACTTCCACACTGTGGCATGCTTAGCTGTTAACAAAGCTTACAACCTGCTAACTCTTTGACTCCTTTAAAACGGCTATAAAATTAGCAATCTCAATTTCCAGGCTGCCTTGATGATAGGAAATTTCTGTCAGTTAATTCCCAGATTTGAGTTAGAAAGGTTCCAGAGGGCTTCTCATTTACAATTTATGCTCTTTTATGACAAACTACTCATGGCCCAACTAAGAAGAATATTACTTTCATTACTTTAAACTTACAATACACACATGCACATATAACCATACAATAAATCACAAACATACCCTGTAACAGTATCAGAAGGTCGTTTTATAACTGAAGTTGACCATTAACTATTATTTTATCTAAAAGTCTAGTCATTTAATACATTTATTTAATATTTAATCCGAATAACTTAACAAGTGTATTTTATGAGTATTCCCCAACATTGATTCTTTCTCTTGGGGTGTGGTCATCCAAGCTCGGAAGATCTAGGAGCCACTACCAGCAGTACTTAGATAGCTGTGCATACCAGATTGTCCAATGGTCAGGTTAATGATGTGGTACTACTCTGGCCCAGCAGGACTGGGGTGGGGTTGTGGGAACACTAAGATCTAACCCAGCAGTGCTCGGGGGTCACAGTGCTAGTCCTAGTGCTGCTATGGAAGGGGAATATGTGGTGCTGGGGATCAAATGCAGAGCTGAGCACTTGCTCCAGTCCTGTAACTTCTCTCCCCATCTTTAAGTGCTCAAGTGCCTCAAGTGCTGGGGAAGAGGGAGTTGGGATACAGAAGGGACCACTATGACAATGATGGTTGGAAGCGATCACTCATGTGCTGAAAGTGGGTGAAAAAACAAACATGATGGCCTCTCAGTATCTGTGAAAAGTTCTTGCCGTAGAGGCAGGCTCAGGGGGTGTGGCAGGAGAGATACTGGGGACATTGGTGGTGGGAAATGTACACTGGTGGAGGGATGGGTATTGGACATTGTAAGACTGAAAACCAATCATTGAAAGCTTTGTAACTGTGTTTCTCACAGTGATTCAATAAAAACATATTTTTAAGTATATTTTGTTTTAAAAAAATAAAAATAAAAGTGTTCTAATTAAAGCTTGAAATCGACCCTGAACTGCAATCTGTATCTTTATGTACATACAAATGCTCAAGAAAATATCTTATTAGCTGAAGAGATAATACAGTGGATAGGGCATTTACTTTGCATGGGATTGACTTGGGTTCTATACCTGGCATTGCATATGGTCACCTAAGCACTACTAAAGAGTAATCCCTGAGCACAGAGCCAGGAGAAAGCCCTGAGAATTGCCAGATGTGATCCCAAAACAACAACAAAAATTATAAACCAAACAAACATTAAAAGAAAACTTATTTTTTAAATTATAATGTGAAGTTTATTAAAGATGACCCCATTCTCATTAGAGACAAAAAATGGTCCGAGATTTTGAGGGTCATATGTAGACTTATTTTTGATAAGTAATGTCTTAACCATATATGGTGCCAGGGATTGAACCTGTTCAATTTTGACGTGTTTAGAGACTGTTTCTAAGTGACAAAGAGAACAAAATTCAGCTGCAAGCATGCCAGAGTCTTACAAGAGCAGTAATATCACTCTAGCACAAGGCATCTCTGTATAACGGTCTAAACTTCTTTTTCAATATACAGTCTGAAACTTTACATATGACACCTTCCCTTCTATTCTAATGACATGTTCTATTTTTAAATAATAACTACCTAGCAGATCCACTGATCCTCGAATGTGATATATCTATAATTCTCTCTATGAAACAGTCTGCAACTACATTTTGGGCCAGTGCCCTATAACTAATTTTCTCAGAAATAAGCAATTTCTCAGCAGTAGTTGCAGACATGAGTTATTTCAGACTACATTATAGTTATAGAGAATTGTGGGCATTATATCCTGTATGGCATTTGTCTCAATGTTATTTACATGACATAATTTACCTCTGAGAAACATTGCATTCAAGAAGCTGCCACACTGAAATGAGTTAACATTTTTAGAAGGGTTTTATGTACGTTCATAAATAGAATTATAGATATTAGTGGCTATTTCTGCTCACTATAACTAGATACAAAGAGCTCTACTGTGTCTGGTTTCAGTTTTGTGCTAGTCTCTGTTAGAGAGCCCACCCTGTCAGGGATATGATTTAAGTCTCATTTTCATTGATTACTTTTCTGAGGAAAGGGCATTTTTGTTTTGTTTTGGGAACACACCCATTGGTTCTCAGTGCTTTCTTCTGCTCTGACCTCAGGGATTATTCCTGGTGGGGCTTGAGGAACCAAATACAACACCAGGGATTGAACCCAGTTCAGCTGCATGCAAGCAAGAGCCTTACAAGAGCCATACTATCACTACAGCCCAGGGCATCTTTACAGAATGGTCTAAACTTCTATGTTTTCTGTACTCAAGGAAATGGAGCTTGACTGATGTGTTTAGAGACTGCTCCTAAGTGACAAAGAGAACAAAATTCAGCATGCTGCCCCAGTTCCCTTGAGCCACTGTCACTTGCTCTCAGAAGCAGGACGGTGTTGTTACCAGACTTCTCCAAGTAATTAGAAGCAGACCTAACTAGCCTTAGATATAGGCGTCACCCACCTGGTGATTTGATTGTATCTCGGTCTGCAGTAATCACAGTCTGTATATTTACTCCATCTGCTAAAGTTATCGAGCTTGGAGTTTGAACTTCACTAAGAATAGAAACTAATCCCCTCACTAGGCTATGTCAATCATCAAGCAGCCGGAACAGGGCTGGAAAGCAATGCAGCACCCCAGCTTGCCAAGATCTGCCTAAAGATCACAAAATATTCCAAAAGAAGATGTTCTTTGTGTATAAAAAATCTAGTCAGTGATGTCTTCTTACCTGATAGGGGTAGTTGTACCAACAGTGCCTTGTATTCCATAACCAGGGGGTCTGAAAAACAGATCAGCAAAAACATATTTCACATATTTTGAAAAAAGAAGCAAGATAAGAGATTTTATGTCAAGTTTGAACACCCCATAGCCTCAGTATTTTAGGATTTCAATGATCTACTTATGTGAGCACTGACGGATTTAAAACAATTAGAAATTTCTTGTACATATTAAAACAATTGGTATCCCATCAAATATTGTCTCTCAGTAATATTTTAAATTCAACTGGTAGTGTTTCAGGATACTTCAGCTACAGAGTCCTGGTTGGTATGTTTTTGTATGTTGATGGCCATGGAGACACACTCCTTCGATGTAACCAGCCTAACAGCAAAGCCTTCCAGGGGTCCCTCCAAGAACAGATGTAAATCATCAACTTCACTTTAAACAATGGTGACAGTTGGTATAAACGATGCTGAAACTCTGCCTGCTAGTACTTAGTAAGCAATATTATCAATCTTTGTTTCTTGCATGTCTTGATCAGGGATAATAGGAAGGTACAATTCTTATTTAAGTAGGACAGCTCAGATTAATTACACTTTTGAGGGAATTACCCCTCTCTGACTCATATTCAAGCTCTTTTGAAGACAAAACAATCACTTATAATGTGACAGCAATCACTTACTTTACATTAAACAATTAGAACATGTAATGGGACATAAAGATTGCAAATGAGCAGAAATGTACTGGTATGCCTTAAAACTGCCAAGCCTCTCAATAACAACAATACAAACTTTTCTAAGATTTTAACTTTATAATTCTCTTTGTGGCATATGACTGTATACATCTGATATACATCTGTAGGTTTCTAATTGTTAAGAAACAAATGATTGGCCACTAATACAACCTGTATATCTCATAACAATGACACTGTTATTGAAAAACTAATGTCAAACACAAGCATACTGAAGTAGATCTTCTTATCTTATTCCAAACCTTGTCAAATAAAAATGGGCTACCATCATTAAGAGGATAATGTAACTGTCTCCCTGAAATTTTTCAAATATCTTTTTTCACACAACATGAGGCTGGGGACGATACTATTAACCATTAGCATTAGCCTCCCTTTTTGACGGTTTTCTCCATGATTATTTATTCAAGCAATTAAAAAACTTGCTCTGCCAACGGCCATATGATTTCAAAGGTTTGTGATTTGTATATATCACACATATAAACTTATTCAAGGTAGTAGCTAGTAGTACTTGAGCCATTTTATCAATCAGTAAATTGAGGTCTGAGTCTATAAAACAATTGCCCAGCTTAAAGAGCTAGGAGTGCCAGCACTTGAAATCCAATTCAGATAATCATGCCTGCCCTACATCTAAAAATGTTCAGGGATCTTGGGGCAGAGAGATTGTATAGAGGGCAAGGCACTTGCCTTGCATGTGGCCAAACTTGGTTGAAACTTGAGCACCATATATTATCCCCAAGCACTGCCAAGACTGATTCCTTAGTACAGACTCAGATCTAGGTCCTGACCACTGATGGGTATGCCTCCTCCCAAAATAATGGAGCAAAATGTGCAGAAATCTTTAAAATCTCCTTCCATTTAAGCATCATATTTTTTGCTTTAATTTTCCTGATTTTGTCATTTACTTTTTTCAACAGTGTATATTATGCAAAATCACTGGTACATTATATCTTGTGTTTGGGTTGTCTATCTCCTTTATTTCTCATATCCCAAACATCTACATTTATATACTTATTTATTCATTTATTATTGGAAGATTAGGCCACACTCTGCAGTGCTCAAGTACTATTCCCAGTTCTGAACGTGGGGATCTCTCCTACAGGTGCTTGGGGGATCATATAGTGTCAGGGATCAAACCAGAGGATGTTGCATACAAGGCAAGCATCTTAATCCCTGTACACACACTCTCTCTCTCTCTCTTTCTCTCTCTCTCTCTGTCCTTTCTGGTTATCAATGACCTACTTTATAGACTAATTATGAGAACCTAATGAAATGGAATTTATAAAAACACTTTTGAGTCTAAAAAAAGTTGAATATTATTGTTTTATATAAACAAGATTCACTGGGCAAAGTATCAAAAATGTGTGAATTCTCATTACTTTAACATTTCATCACGATCACGACCATCCTGTTATTCGTCGATAGCCTCGAGCAGGCCCCAGTAACGTCTCCTTTGTCCTAGCCCTGAGATTCTTTAAAAAGTGCCATATTCAAGGCTCTTTCAGAGCTAGGAGAATGAGACCCATCATTGTTTACTGGTATCTGGCATATTGGGTACGCCACGGGGAGTTTTCCAGACTCTGCTGTGTGGGCAGGTTACATTCGGTAGCCTGCCAGTTTGTCCAAAGTAGGAATGAGATAATAAGATGTCGCACGGCTGCGAATGCGCTTCCGGGAGCTGGATGTTTAACATTTATAGGATGTTTTTGGTCATTTTTTCTTGAGATATAAAATAATATAGATAAAAGAGTTTTATTTTTTAACATACACATATGCATAAATTTTGATTGTGGGCACACTATCATAATCTACTTTAAAGCTTAGCGTGCATGTCAGTTATTACCTTTCTTTGATAAAGCTGCTTATTATCATCTTTACAGTTACTTCAAAGTCTTTTAGGGAAAGATATGTCACTGCACATGTTTATCCTCCCAGCATCTACACTCAAGTTGACACTTACACATGAATGCTAATGAAAGAAATACACAATTAAATGCCTATAACAAAGCTCCGAGTATTTTTCTAAATCTATCAGATCCAATACGAAAGGGCAAGTATGTGCTGATTCTAAAACGTTTCCCACTGTGTCTTCCCTTCCAGCCACAGGCAAGAAAATGAAGGAATGGCTCCTAGTAAACTAGAAAACCAGCCATAAGTGCTTCCCTTCCTTCTTTGAGTTCTGTGGGTTTCTTCTACTGGCAAGGTTCTTCCCTGTACTTCAGAAGGACATCATCTAAACCTGCTTCTATTATGTACCAGTACCTGAACGACTACAGATACAGGGAATGAGTCTGTCTTCTCCAGGCACCTGTCCACTAGAAGCAAAGGCCAGGAGAGGGTGAGTTTGATGAAGTTACCAGGGCCCAAGCTTACCTGAATGCTCAACCACTCAACATTTTAATGAGTTATTTCACAAACAGTGCCTATCTACCTACATCTTCCACTCTGACAACACTGGAGCACTGGAACACTGGAGCACTGTCCTCCTGTATTGATTTGCCCGAGCAGGCACCAGTAACATCTCCATTGTGAGACTTCTTGTTACTGTTTTTGGCATATCGACTACTCCACAAGAAGCTTGCCAGGCTCTGCCGTGTGGGTGGGATACTCTCAGTAGCTTGCCGGGCTCTCTGAGAGGGACAGAGGAATCGAACCCAGGTCGGCGGCATGCAAGGCAAATGCCCTACCCACTGTGCTATCGCTCTAGCCCTTCAAGATAGCTGGCACTCTTGCACGACCACCCACGCAATTTGATCCAGTTAAGTGAATGATTACAGATCTTGGGGCCTAAATGATCTTAATCTATTCTCAAATTGACAACACTACATAGGAATATCACCTTAAATATGCACACCACACTCTTCTAGGATCTCATTTTACATCATTGCCATCCTAGAAATCCACGAGACAGAACAAATATCATTTCCCCCAATTTACTGATGAGAAAGTTGATGAGAAAGTGATTCCTGCCTGACATTTTACAGGAGTCTGCTTATATTTAGATCAATTAGTAAATATTTCTTTAATGTGATCTGATAATATGAAGCTAGTATTGTTTAATCATCTAATTTTTCTCTTTTCCATTTTCTAGGTTTGCCTTTCAGAATCATATCCACATTTGTGGCAAAATCTATATATTCATCACAGAGATTAAAGGGAAGTAACATAAAATTAGTAATATAAAAAGTCAAAATGTTTAGATGTCAAAAAAAGAATAACGGTAGTTTAAAAATATCCAAAACCTCTCATTTAGAAGAGTGAGCTTAGTAAAAGATGTGCTGTACCAGGCAAGAGAGATGGTACAGCATGTAGGGTACTTTGCAGAGTCTACTGGTTTCTATTCCTAGCACTATGTATCACCCCCCCAAGAACCTCTAGGAGTAATTTAAACGCAGTCTGAATAATCCCTGAGCAAAGCCAGGTGTGGTGCGAAAGCAAACAAAAAAATCCATCACCCACCACAGTGCATGGCAAATTTAAGCTCATTTTTCATAAATACTCATCTTTTTCACATTGCATTGCAATATCATCATAAAAATGCTATCAAGATTGGAACAATTTTTTGAAGACCTAAATCTAGTCATTTCAATAATATGATTTCTACCATTTCCTATTATTATTATTATTATTTGCTTTTTGGGTCACACCCGGTGATACACAGGGGTTACTCCTGGCTTTTGCACTTAGGAATCACTCCTGGCAGTGCTCAGGGGACCATATAGGATACTGGTGATCGAACCCAGGTCAGCCACGTGCAAGGCAAATGCCCTATTCACTGTACTATCACTCCAGCTCCTACCATTCCTCTTTTTAAATAATCTTATCAAATGCTTTAGAGAATTTAAGGTACATTTTAATTCTCATAACAATGTTGTAAGTACTCAAGCAAACATAATCAGAAGATGCTACAAAAGATTATTTTGGCACAACACCTCTCAGAATTTTAAAATGTACCTTCTGATTCAGTGATTCTGATTCTACTCGGAGATGAAATACAGTGGTGGTGGTGGAGGGGGTGGGGGGGCTGGAGGGTGAGGGCTGGTTTGGGCGACACCCAATCAACCTGCCACAGGGATTATTCCAGGCTCCACTTTGGGACTTGTCCAGACAATGCTGCGGTTGGAAGGAATGTGGTGTCCTGGATCAAATCTGGGCCTCCTGCATGTAAAGCATATGCCCTATCCTGTTTCGCTCTGTCTGTGGCTCTGAAAGCCTACATTTTAATATTCTCCAGGTGATGCTGATGCTGTTGGATTGTGGATTTTGGGTCGTAAGTTTCTGAAGAAAATGAGAGGTGTTATATCACTTTTTTT